GTCGTCGCCCGTGGCACGAATTAATTGCTCCATCGTCTGATTCGTCCGCTCCGTTTGACCATCGGTCTCGGGGTGGTACGACGAACTGAACTGTAGCCTGGTCCCGAACTGCTCCCAGAGGTTCTTCCAGAAGTTGCTGGTGAACTTCGTGTCCTTGTCGCTGATAATTGCTGCTGATATCCCGTGCAGGCGAACAACGGCTGTGATGAACAGACGAGCGGTCTCCTCGGCTGAGATCGACTTTTTACACGCAGCGAAGTGTGCCATCTTCGCCAATCTGTCAACGACGACCATCACCGCGTCGTTACTCCCAGGTTTCAAAGGTAACCCTGTGACGAAGTCCATGGTGACCTGCTGCCAGGCGCGCTCGGGCGGTGGTATCGGCTGCAATTGACCCGCTTTCCGCTTCCTCGAGCTCTTCATCACCTGACACGTGGGGCACGAGCCCACATGCTGCTGCACGTCGGTCAACAGCTCCGGCCAGTAGTAATACCGCTGCAGTTGCTGTCGCGTTTTTTCTACCCCAAAATGTCCCGAGGTAATTCCATCGTGTGCCTCCTGTAGTAGCAGCTCCCTCAGTAGTGAGTACGCGGGTACCCAGATGCGGTTGGTGCCTGCTTTTACGTAATAAACCCCTTTAGCTTCTGCCAGTTGCTGTGAGTTTCCAGTCGTGAAAAATGGGTCGGTGCGGTATCCGTGGGTGAATAGGCCGTTTAAAAGCGGGTTGGTCTGGGCGAGTAGGATGGCGTGGAGCTGGGCGGTAGGGCGGGTGAGTGCGTCGGCGATGTTGGATGCGCCTTTCTTGTACGTAACCGTATAGTGGAAGTTGAACTCGAGGTAGTCCAACCAGCGAATCTGTTGTGGATTGAGATTCGGTTGGGTGCGTAAGTACTGTAGTGATCGGCGGTCTGTCCGTACTGTCACGTCGACGCTAGTCAGGTAACACCGCCAAACCTTGAACGCGTGCACGATCACCAACATTTCGCGGTCGTGTATCGGGTAGTTGCGTTCGGGCGGGTGCAGCTTGCGGGACTCATACGCGATTGGCTGGAGGCCGTTCCCGAAATCCTGCAACAGTACTGCTCCCACAGCGATGTCACTTGTGTCAGTGACGAGCTCGAACGGACGGTGTGGGTCTGCGATGTGAGGCACGGGCGGTGAGCACAAAATGTTTTTGAGGGCCGAGAAGGCAGCTTGCTCTTTCTCCCCCCACGTTTACTCAACCCCCTTCCTCAGCAGGTCTGTCATCGGGGCAGTCAGCTTCGCCATGTCGGGGACGAACCGGCGCACGTAGTAGACGAACCCCAAAAAACTTTGCAACTCGGTCAAGTTGGTCGGCGCGTGCCATGCTTGAATCGTCGCAATTTTCTTCGGGTCTATTTCCACTCCTGTAGTTGAAATAATGTGTCCCAAAAATCCCAAGCGGTCCTGTAAAAACTCACACTTAGACGCTTTTGTCAGTAGGCAGTTCTCACTCAGTATTTTAAAAACTGCTTCGATGTCCTGTTAGTGCTGTGCTCTGTCGGGGCTGTAAATCAGTATGTCGTCCAGGTATACTATGACGCACTTATCTAAGAGCGGGCGGAAAGCTTCGTTCATGGTCATTTGAAAAGTGGCAGGGGCGTTGGTCAGTCCGAAGGGCATGACGGTATATTCGAAGGATCCGTAGCGTGTTCGGAATGCGGTCTTAGGGCAGTCGGGCGGATTGACGCGAATCTGGTGGTAACCCCCTCGGAGGTCGATTTTCGAGAAAACCCGGGCTGTGCGCAGTTGGTCGATCAGTTCGTCGGCTCGCGGGATGGGGTAACGGGATTTGATGGTAACCCTGTTCAGTGCTCTGTAGTCTATGCACATGTGAAATCCCCCGTCTTTTTTCGGTGTGAACAGTATTGGTGCTGCGAAGGGCGACGAACTAGGGCGAATGAACTCCTTCTCGAGCAGGTAATCGAGCTGCTTCCTCAATTCGTCCAGTTCGGGCTGGGTCAGTCGGAACTGTCGCTGTACTGTTGGCTGCGCCCCCGGTTCTAACTCTATCCTGTGGTCGTGCGGTCGCTGAGGTGGCAGTCCCGTCGGTAAATCGTCAGGGAAAATGTCGCTGTACTGCTTCAACAGTGTTGCCACATCACTCGGTACGTCGGCCAGCAGTTTCTGTAAATCCCCTCCTTTGTCTGCTGCCTCGGCTTCCCGAATGCCGACCGCGTACACGTTAGCTCCTGCCGCTACAGCGCGTTTCATCGTGATCGCGTCGACACGCACCGACGAAGACTCAGGCGAGCCCCAGCGAGGTAGGGCGATGTTGTTACCGTTCACTCGCACGGTGCAGTCACCCGTCGTCAAGTCGATTCGCGGATTGTGTCGTCGCAGCCAATCACGCCCGAGTAAAATGTCGGTTCCGTCGAGGGTCGTTAAAAGCATTCCCTGGCTAAACGTGAAGTTACCCCCACATCGAATCCGAACCCGGTCTACGCGTTCTCGTATTGCCAGCGGCGTGCCGTCTACCAGACGTGCGTCCATCTCAGTTTTCGTGCTGTGGCAGTGTTGATGAGGCTGTGACTAGCTCCCCTGTCTACGAATATTTTAATTAAGTCCGTCCCGATTTTCCCACTAAGCAGTATGGGGCTGTCTACCGTAGTCCCCTCCTTATTCGGGCGAGTGTGGTCGATTGCGTGAACCGGCACAATCACTCGGTGAGGGTCGGCTGGGTCGGGCGAGCGGCGTGACCTGTCAGTAGAGGGCCCGTCTGCTACTGACTCCTAGCGTTTCCCTGCTGCTTGGTCTGTTTCTGCTGCTCAGCTTCCCCCTTTCCCTGAGCGTTTTCCGGGCATTCGCTCTTGCGATGTCCCGGCCGATTGCACGCAAAGCAGCGCCCTTTGAACGGTGCGGCAGCGGCATTTGCGGCGACGGCACGTATCGTGGCGCCCTCGTTTGTTCCACGAGGCCGATGTCCCCAATGGCTGCTTCCGTAGGACCCCGGTCTCGGTCGGCGGAAGAAGTCAAGTTTCTCCGCCATAGCGAGAATTTCTTGAAAGTCGGTGACGCCGCGAAGTTGGATTTCCTGAGCGATGTCCTGCTTCAGGCCACCGATGTAGCGGTCGATGTGCTCGCTCTCGTGCATATATCCCACCTGCTCGCATAGCGCCAGAAATCCGCTCGTGTAATCTTGGACGGAACCGAGTTGGCGCCAAGTGCGGAGCTTCTGTCGCGCCGTGATCGAAGCCGCGATTGGCTCGAAACGAGCGCGCAGACCTGCGCACCACGCGTCCCACGTGCGATACTGGGGCACCTCCACGAAATACGACGGCGCCCAGGGTCCGGTTTGTCCTTCCCGTGTCGGTAGAATCGCGTAGTCCACCGGCTTCGTGACGATGACGCGCCACCAGTCCATGGCGGGTCCTCGCAGCAACGACACGGCGTAGCGAATATTCGCCGTATCCTCCGAGACGTAGTTCGCGTCGAAGAAGACGCTCAACGTGAAGAGCCACGCCTGAACGGTAGGACCACCCCGGTGACTTGGGTCAAAGCATGGCGGACGCTGCGGCTTTAGCGGCATCGGCGACGGAAGAGTTGATTCGCCGGCCGGCACCGAAATCGTGACTCGAGGCTGAGTCCTGGCCGCATTTGTCGCGTCGGGGTGTATCGTGCCGTGGTCGTCGTCTCCGTCATGGCGGACGACGCCATCACTTGCGGCGCTCGCGGGTTGCCCCACACTTCCGTGCTGTGATGTCTGTGGTGCGGGCTGAATCGGAGTGCCAGGTGCTTGGGATTGTGCCCGTGTGAGGTCGTTTTGTAGGGACGAGCGTTTTGCCGTCACCGTCGCAATTTCCTCGGCGCTCTCGAGGATTTTTCGCAGTAGATCGTTCAAGTGCTCTTGCGTGAGAGTCGTGACGTCGATATGATCAGCCATTTCGAAGGGCGTCGGCTCGTCTTAGTCTAGGCGCAGTCGTGGCTGCACGCGTTTACGAGAGAACGCGAGGACAGTGACTCCTAGGTGCTACGGTACGTGAGTCCCTTCGAGTGAAAAATCAAAAGTTGATTTCTTGGGGTGCGGAGATGCGCGGTCCGAAAGAAAGGGGCTCTGAATACCAAGTGTTACGGGTGCAATGAATCGAAGTAGCGAGAATTGCACTAAGGTGTCAAACGAGTACAAAATGTGAGCGAAGGCATGAGCGAACATTTATACGCGAAACATGCAAACGGTAACGCGGTGCGTGCGAGCTAGCTAGTGCTACGCTGGAAGCGAGGCTCGGGCTAGTCCCGAAGCGTAGGCCGACACGGCCAGGCCAGCAGTGTGAGGTTTGGTGAAACAGTGCGCGCGAAGTCGGCGAAGCCCCGTTAGAAGTAACGGGTGAACAACGGCTGTTGCTGTACGCGATGTAGTCGGGCTCCGTAAGGAATGCCGAGAAAATTCCTTACAGACGGTGGCCATGAATGCACAGAAGTCCTAGATGCTAGCTGTGCGCGCAAGCGGTAGATGGTGACGTGTTTTGGGAAGGCCGACGGTAGTTGCGAACCGTAGGCGTAGCTCGTTTCCTTTTCTTTGCGTGCGTGCCAAGCGAACCATCATCGACGCCGGAGACGAAATTTGGGAGATGCATGGCTCGAGTCCGAGTGATGGAGCGTCTTCATATCGTGACGCTGCCAGCAATTCGTGATTGTCCGCCCGATACAAGGTGCTAGTCTATTGCCGCTCTGTCTCATCCACAACTCGTTTTTGTCGAGAAAGCAAGCGAGCTTTCGAGATTTTTCGATCAAAGCGCAGTCCAGTTAGACGTCCAACGATTCGGGAATTCGGAATTTCGACAGGAAACAACATCTACGAGATCCGGCCGAGCGCGTGGTGCTTTGAGGCGCCTCAAAAACCGGCCGAGCTCATAAGCACAGCGTGGTGCTCCACTGGTGATAATAGTGCTACTAGTAACAGGTGTAGACGATTTTTTAGGAATCTCAATAACCCTCCACGGGTAATACTGATCGTAGTAACAGGAGTGGTAGACGCACCAATGGGGATCGTCCTGGGTCGGGTGAACGTGGAGACGCCGCGATTCACGGTGGAGGCGAAGACGGACGCGTTTGAGATTCGCCGATACCCCCCGCAGATGGTGGCGGAAGTGACGTTCGACGGCGACCACCAGGTACGGTGCAGTACAGTGCAGTACGGTGCAGAAAGGTTCTGTACGGTGCAGAAAGGTGCAGGACGGTGCAGTGAGATGCATCTCGGTGCATCCCGGTGCATCTCAGTGGAGGCGAAGACGGATACGCTTGAGATTTGGCGATACCCTCCGCAGATGGTGGCGCAAGTGTTGTACGACGGCGACCACCAGGTACGGGGTGCATCACCATGCATCAACAGTGCCACTCAACCCTGCTGAATCCATGCTGCTGCAGTAGAACAGCATCAACACACCTCTTTTCTGCGCAAGCAGGGTACATAGCTGTGCCCTCTGCTCCTCTCCACTTCTTCTAATCCCTGTCAACCCCTCTCAATCCCGTCTTTCCGCAGAACGGCATCAACACAGCCTTTTCAGACCTAGCAGGGTACATAGGCGCGCTCTCTGCTCCTCAGAACCGACCTGCACCTGCCCATTCGGACAGCCCAGGCGAGGGGGGTGAAAAGATTGCCATGACTGCTCCCGTGCTGACACACGCTGGAGGAGGAAAAGGAGGAGGAGATGGAGGAGGAGGAGGGGATGGGGGAGAGAAGAGCACTACTGGTGGTGAGAAGATTGCCATGACTGCTCCGGTGCTCACACATATTGCAGAAGAAGGGGGAGATGTGGGAAGAGGAGGGGAAGGAGGAGGGGAAGGCGGAGGGGATGAGGCAGGGAAGAACATTGCTGGGGGTGAGAAGATCGCCATGACTGCTCCTGTGGTGACAGGTACGGAAGAAGTGGCACTTTCGCCAGGCATGCATGCATATCTGCCATCAGTCATGCACTTCCACAGAGACTCAAAAGTCACCTAGTCCTCTTTCCTCATACCCAAACCTCCCCTCGACTCTCCCGTCCTCCCTCCCCACCCTTCCCCCTTCCACAGCCCCCGACAACAGCACCAGGCAAGACCACGATACAGGCAAGATCACGATGCAATTCCTCCTGCCAGCATCCCTCACACCAGCCACCCCGCTCATCCCCACCAACCCGGCAGTCACCATTCATCAGCTGCCGCCCCGCCTCCTGGGTGCAGTCACTTTCTCGGGCACCTGTGCCTCAACCACTCCTCTTCCCTCCCTCCCCTCTTCCCCTCCCTCCCCCCCTCCCTCTCCCCTCCGCCCTTTCTCCCTTCCACACCCCACTCTCCCCCAGCCCCCACTTCCTCTCCAGGCAAGACCACGATGCAGTTCCTCCTGCCAGCATCCCTCACACCAGCCACCACACCGATTCCTACCAACCCGGCAGTCACCATTCATCAGCTGCCGCCCCGTCTTCTGGGAGCCGTCACTTTCTCGGGCCTCACAACGCAATCCGTGCTTCAGCACAAGTCGCAGGAGCTGCAGGCGGCATTAGAAGCAGCTGGGTATAAAGTATGTGGGGATTATGTGGTTGGGCGATACAATCCGCCATTCACTCTGCCGTTTATGAGGACTAACGAGATCTTGTACCCTGTGGAAGGATAATGCTATACTGTGTACATTTTTGCTGTAACCTCTGGTTGGTTGGTCGGTTGGTTGGTTGGATGGAGGGGATCGAAATAAATTTGGTTTACTGCAATGTGGCCAGCGGAGAATTTTCTTTAAGGGTACATTCCGCTGTGGACACATGTCCCAATCGATGTGTCCCAATCGAGTGTACCGCTCCAAACCGAACTAAACCAGAGACGCGAAAATTTCGAAACTAGGGTGCAATTTGGTGTAGTACGATGCAGTGCGGTAGAAACGATTGGGACACATCGATTGGGACATGTGTCCACAGCGGAATGTACCCTAAGAACCACTCTCTTTCCGAGCCTCTTCTAACGGGTACAGAATCTCATTTGTGCGAAACCACGGAATCGTGAACGGGTCGTTGTAACGCGCGAGCACATATTCGCCCGCGATACCGTACCCTGCTTTCTCCAACGCACTTCGCAGCTCTCGCGACTTTTGATCCAGCACAGCATTCGTCGTGAGTCCCGAAAAGGTAAGCGCACCAATCAGGCGTGCAGGGACCTGTCGCACGCGCACGTCTGGGTTGGTGGGAATCGGGGTGTTTTCTGGTGTGAACGACGCAGGCAGGAGAAACTGCATTGTCGTCTTGCTCGCTGCTGTCGTTGCTTCGCCAGCACCCGTTTCTCCAGCAACAGGTGTTACCACTTCTGTTACCACAGGAGCAGTCATCGCAATTTTCTGTGGTTCACCGCTCCTGCCGCCCTCACCAACCCCCCCACCACCACCATCAGCACCAGCAGCAGCAACACCAGTTTCAGACGTAGAAGCAGCTTCAGCAGCAGCAGGATCAGAAGCAGCAGCATCCCCATTTGCACCAGCAGCGCTTGTTTCTGTGATAACAGGAGCAGTCATGGCTATCTTTTGCCGCTCCTCCCCTCCCGTTCCCTCCCCTGCAACAGGTTTCCTGTTCTCCGCTGGACCCAACACCCCGATGTAGCCTGCCAGTGCAAAGAACCCGCTTCTGGAACCTACACGCTGTGCATCGAGGGTGAATGGAAGGGGGGGACAGGGAGGGATGACCAGATACAGTTGAAGGAGCAGCGTAACTGTTTATCACTGGACCCAGCACCCCGATGTAGCCTGCCAGGGCGAAGCAACCGCTTCTGGAACCAACACGCTGTGCAGGGAGGAAGAATTGGAAGGGAGCGAGGGAGGGAAGGGACGACAGGGAGGGGAAATCAGAAGCAGTCGAAGGAGCATCTTAACTGTCATCCGCTGCTTTTGAGTCGACTCAAAAGAAGCAGTCGAAGGAGCATCTTAACTGTCATCCGCTGCTTTTGAGTCGACTCAAAAGAAGCAGTCGAAGGAGCATCTTAACTGTCATCCGCTGCTTTTGAGTCGACTCAAAAGAAGCAGTCGAAGGAGCATCTTAACTGTCATCCGCTGCTTTTGAGTCGACTCAAAAGAAGCAGTCGAAGGAGCATCTTAACTGTCATCCGCTGCTTTTGAGTCGACTCAAAAGAAGCAGTCGAAGGAGCATCTTAACTGTCATCCGCTGGACCCAGCACCCCGATGTAGCCTGCCAAGGCAAAGAGCCCGCTCCTGGAGCCAACACGCTGTGCCGGAAATGGGAGTGGGGTGTGAGGGGTGCGAGGGAGGGAAGGGATGACAGGGAGGAAGCAGCTTAACTATCATCCGCTGGACCCAGCACCCCAATGTAGCCTGCCACGGCGAAGAACCCGCTTCTGGAGCCAACACGCTGTGCAGGGAGTGGGGGTGGGTGTGAGAGGTGCAAGGAAAGGAAGGGATGAGAGGGAGAGAAGGGATGAGAGGGAGAGAAGGGATGAGAGGGAGAGAAGGGATGAGAGGGAGAGAAGGGATGAGAGGGAGAGAAGGGATGAGAGGGAGAGAAGGGATGAGAGGGAGAGAAGGGATGAGAGGGAGAGAAGGGATGAGAGGGAGAGAAGGGATGAGAGGGAGAGAAGGGATGAGAGGGAGAGAAGGGATGAGAGGGAGAGAAGGGATGAGAAGGAGAGAAGGGATGAGAGGGAGAGAAGGGATGAGAGGGAGAGAAGGGATGAGAGGGAGAGAAGGGATGAGAGGGAGAGAAGGGATGAGAGGGAGAGAAGGGATGAGAGGGATGGAAAACCAGAAGCAGTTGAAAAAGCAGCTTCAATTTCATCTACAAGACCCAAGGATAAAAAATACGACCGTTTTTTTGATTTTTTACCGTATTATACGGTATCGTATTAAACGATCGTTTTAAAACGGTTAAATACGGTTAATTTGTGTTTTTCTGTTTCGATTAAAAATGCGATCGTTTTAAACGACCAATTTTTTGAAACCGTGATACACTATACTGAGATTCACAATTTGTCTGCCAAACAGTCTCATTGTGAGACTGGGCACGAATGTATCGAGGCAGAGTCAATTTTGGCCCAGGGTCGCAAATTCCACGTCACATGCGAGTCGCGACATTGAAATAAATGGACGATGGCGAAAACAGGGATTACCTGTTTCGCTACTGCAAAATTTGTTTCGCCGAAACGCAACGAGAATGTTTGACCGAGTCGCGAGATTTCAATATTTGGCGAACGGGTGAAAGTAGGTCACCCGTTTCGCTATGCCCGCTTCGAAATCTCGCGCCCAATGGCTAATTTTCGCCCAAATCCAAGACGAACCCTGCTCTTCACGCCGCGCATCCAAGCCAACCAATCGCCTTGCATTTCCTGAACTTATCCCTCTCACGCGATTCTTTCGACACAGCAAACTCCAACGCCCCAGCAAGGTACTAAAAGTGAGCAGTAGTGACTCACATCAGCACTACATCTCTCAAATCATCTCACCTCTCTGTTAGAGCAGGTCTTCCAACGCCATGGTGCGACCGAAATCGCCACTATGGATTCATGTTGTGACGGAGGGTTCAGCGAAGGACGGAAATCTCACTGCGAAATGCAAACACTGTGGTGAAACCGTGACTGCCAACGCGACGCGCATAGGCGAGCATGTGTACGGGACGCCGGAGACGAAGAAGGATAAGAACGTGACTCCATGCGGCTCTGATGTCGCAAAGAAGCTTCGCGAGGAAGCAGAGGAACATGCACGCTCATCATTCGGTGGGTCGAACCGAGCTTCCACCTCTACAACGGTCCAGATTCATGCCCCTCGTCGCGCTAAGCAGCGCGACATCCGCGACATGGCGGATACGGCTGCGCGCACTCGTCTGGACTACCTCTGGGCCGCGGCTGTAGCGGAGAACGACTGGGCCTTCCAGTCATCGAAGTCTAGGGCGGTGCAGGAATTCGTTGATGCGGCCCTCGCCTTCGCGAAGCCATACACCCTCCTGACCCCCTACAAGGTTGGAGGCCCGCTTCTGCTGAAATTACGGGCGGATACGGAGGAGCTAGCGAAGCCGATGATGGATAGCTGGCTCAATCGCGGCTGCACCCTGGCGTGCGACGGATGGACCTGCTTGAAGTCTCGAGGGCTTGTTTGCGTCATCGCCCTCAACGACACGGCACCGGTGATTGTGGAAACGATAGACTCGAAGACGGCAAAGAAGACTGGCGGGTATCTTGCCAAACTCCTCCGCAACTCCATTGTCAAGGTGGGAGACAAGACGGTCGTCCAGGTTGTCATGGACAAAGCGGCTAATAACCGGCGTGCGGCAGACATTTTGCGCGACGAATACCCAGGCATATTCTTCAACAACTGCGCCGCTCACGTACTCGACCTCATGCTGCACGATTTCGGCAAGATTCGTGCGGTGAAGCGGGTCATAAGCCAGGTGAACCGCGTGGTCATGATGGTGAAGGCAAGCGCCTCCGCCGTCACTCTCTTCCATGAGGTTTTCGAAGAGCTTGCATTGGTGCGGCTAGGTGCAACTCGGTTTGGCACGCACGTCATCATGCTCGCCAGATTCCTCGAAGTAAAAAAGTCGCTGCGGCAGATGGTCATAAGTGAGGAGTGGGAGGAGATTGCGGTGGCAAAGCAGCCGGAGGGGAAGGCGGTGCGCGACCTCCTCTTAGATGAGGTGTTTTGGGAATGCGCAACGGCAGTCCTCCGCATCATGCAGCCCGTGTATGATGTCCTTCGGGTCGTCGACACGCGAGCTCTAGTTATGGGGCAAGTGTATGGCCTCATGCTAGAGGCCACGGTGAAGACCAATGTGGCGGCCCAGGCTGGAGGTAAGACATACCTTTGCATGCTGTACGCCTTTGGGAGTCGTCGTGATTGCATGCACACCCCGTTCCTGCCCATGCTTACCGCCCTTCATCGTGTTTGTACTTCCATTGACAGCCGCCATGTTTGTCAAGCGCACGGAACTGCTGTTGGCAAAGGACAAGCCCGCATTCCTGGCGGAAATCAAGGCTATCCTAGTCAAGAGGTGGGACAAGCAGCTGCATAACCCACTACACGCTCTCGGGTGGCTCCTCAACCCCCGCAATCAGTACGTGGGGGAAGTGCGGGAGGATGAGGAGGTGAGGAGTGGGGCGGAGGCGGTCATCCAAGCACGGGTGAAGGATGTCGCCCAGCGCACCCTCATCCAGGCGCAGTTGGCCCAGTTCCACAAGGGCGAGGGGCTGTTGGGGTCGCCCGATGCACGGTGGGCTGCAAAGGTCTTGGTGGCGAGTGGGCGCCTGACGGATGCCGACTGGTGGTGGATGTATGGCGGGGAGGTGAAGGCGTTGCAGTCGCTGGCAGTGATGAACCTGTCACAGCCGGTAACGTCATCCGAGGTGGAGCGTTACTGGTCCGCGATTGCTCGTGTGCAACGGCGTGACCGTAACCGCATCTCCGCCAAGAAAATGACGGACGTGACCTATGTCGCGTTCATGAGGAGGGCTCGGGACACCTTTGACAGGAAGCAGAAGGTGAGGGAGAAGCTCTACGCCGATCTGAGCAACGGCACCCTCAAGGAAGGGAGTGTCGTCGCCCCGGCAGAGGAAGTGGTGGAGAAAGAGGGGGCCGAGGAGGAGGGAGAGGTGAATGTGGCATGCACCATTGACTGGGACCTCTTCGGGCAGATTGGCAAGAAGAAGAAAAAGGAGCGTGAGAGCTCCAAAAGGAAGAGGAAGGGCAAGGCGACCAAGCCTAGCAAAGGTAAGAAGAAAGCCGCGGCAGCGCGTGAGGATGAGGAGGAGGAGGCGGCGGACAGCAGTGGCGATGAGGAGGAGGAGCATGTGCCCACCACCAAGACTCGCTCGGGCGAGAATCCGTGGGACATTAGTGATGGCTCGAGCGGGGAGGAAGAGGAGGAGGAGGAAGAGGAGGAGGAGGAGGAGGAGGAGGAGGAGGAGGAGGAGGAGGAGGAGGAGGAGGAGGAGGAGGAGGAGGAGGAGAATGACGAGGAGGAGGAGGGGGATGATGAGTAAAGGAGGGTGATATATGGGGAAGAGACGTTGGCGGGCGAGGCATAGAGTAGGAGTAGTAGCGACCCACCAGGTAGGTCCTACCTACTACCTAGTATGAGTAGTAGTAGTAGAGTAGAGTAGAGGGGGGGGGAGGGGAGTAGTAGTACTAGAGGGGAGGGGATGTTGTGTAGTAGTCGTGGTAGCTGTTCCATGTTGTTTTGTAAGGTTTTGTGCACCCTCCAGAAGTTGGAAGATATCAATCCAAGGGGAAAAAAAAAAAAAAACAAACCAGAAAAAAAAAACCCTTTCAAAAATATGCCGTATTTTTCCTCAAATGGCCGTAAAATACGATTTCCGTATTTTTCATCCTTGACAAGACCCAGCACCCCGATGTAGCCTGCCAGGGCGAAGAAACCACTTCTGGAGCCAACATGCTGCGCAAGGAGGGGGAGTGGAAGGGGGGTAAGGGAAGGATGACCAGATACGGTTGAAGGAGCAGCTTAACTGTCATCCACTGGACCCAGCACCCCAATGTAGCATGCCAAGGCAAAGAAACCGCTTCTGGAGCCAACACGCTGGGCAGGGAGGGGAGGTGCAAGGGGGGTGAGGGAGGGATGACAAGATACATTTGAAGGAGCAGCTTAACTGTCATCCACTGGGCCCAGCACCCCAATGTAGCATGCCAAGGCAAAGAAACCGCTTCTGGAGCCAACACGCTGGGCAGGGAGGGGAGGTGCAAGGGGGGTGAGGGAGGGATGACAAGATACAGTTGAAGGAGCAGCTTAACTGTCATCTACTGGACCCAGCACCCCGATGTAGCCTGCCAGGACGAAGAACCAACTTCTGGAGGCCAACACGCTGCGCAGGGAGGGGAGTGAGTGGACCAGAGTGAAAACACAAATTTTACATTTTATTATTTTTCTGAGGCGTCTTCATACATTGAAGGAACACCTGTATTATCACCTACTGGGCTCAGAACTCCAATGTAGCCTGAGCAAGCAAAGGAAATGCTCCCGGTGACAACACGCTCGGCGAAGAGGGAGTGGGAGGGAGAGGAAGGGCTGGGGGAGGGAGGGGACACAAGATGCACGAGGACGGCAGGAACAATCTAAGAAGCTCTATTGTTACCTGGAACCTCATTACAACCTGCTAAAGGAGGAAAAAAAAACCCTCATTGATATTACTGGATCGCAGAATCGGTAACCCTATTACATGAAAGTTCTTCATGATTTAAGTGGAAGACGCCGTGGTCATTGTTAGTCGCTTCTCCGCATTTGGCGGAGACAGCTAGTGGTGTTTCTATGTAAAAAGAGAAGAGAGAATTCACACGTTACGAGTTTTTTTGGAGGACAGCAACCATCCAAGGATGATATTCCGCGACCAATCACCTGGATATGGTGCACGGAATGCACCGGGATGCACAGTAAAGCGCCGTGCTGCAACGCACCTGGAAGTGGTCGCCGTCGTAAGTCACTTCCGCCGCCATCTGCGGAGGGTATCGTCGAATCCCAAACGCATCGGTCTTCTCCTCCACCGTGAATCGCGGCGTCTCGACGTCGATGCGACCCAGCACGGACCCCATGAAGCCTCGATGTGAAGCGCCTTGGCGCGCTGCGACTCGGCACGCTGCGGCTCGGCGCGCAGCTGCCGTGACGACCGCCAGCCGCGCAAATTCAATCAGAAGACCTAACTGGCGAAGCAGCAATCACGGAAGAAATAAAAATTGGCAGAAGCAGCGTAGCCAGAAACTGGAAACGGAGATGTCAGGGGTGAGAGCAGAACCGTCATGCGTGGAGCGAACTGTCATAAAGACGTAGGAGAGCCAGAGCTAATTTCGAGTCGCAAGAGATCACAAGCAAGCTGAAAGAAAATTGTTGGTGGAAAATCGCTGTTGCCGTGTGTGGTGTGGAACGCACGAAGCAAGTCGACAGGAGAGGTTGCCCTGGCGAAGACTTGGATTTTAACGAAACGGTAGTGGAAGTTACCGGTGAAAATGTGGCATTCGCAAGACGGGTACCACATGAGGGCGAAATTTGAGGCGACAGGGAGCAGTGCGAAGAAGCTGGAGAGCAGATCCTTGAAAAAGGCTGCTCTACAGCTCAATCTGTCACCACCTGTTAGAGGGGTGTTTACTGTTCATTCCGAACAGTACATTCCTAGTCACCATTATCCTTATCTTCTCAGATTCTCTAGTGCCACGTGGCACTCTACTTTTCTTGCACTCCAATTCTTGGTCCCACATTCCATTTTCCAACCTTGTTTCTTGCATGCTATATAAACCTTGCTTGTACTTGCCATTATCAATCAATTCTCATTCAACTCTTCTTCAATTACTCAGTAACTTCTTCGCCTATTTCGCCAATAGTTCTTTCGCCAAAGTCTTCCGCCGCGTTTCATCCTCGACTTAGTCGACCCCGCTAATTCTTTAGCGGACTTTGGCCGTCGGGCCTAACACTTGGTATCAGAGCCTTCGCGGGGAGCGACTTCCAACGAGCGACCGTCGACGACGAGACTACGACGTCATCGTCCCGCGGTGCCGACTTGCAGACTTGGAGTCGTTGAGCGAACATGGACGAAACCATGCACGCAGTCCCCCACGACATGGGCAACACGCCTGCCGAACTCATGCGCCAACTTCAAGAGTTGACGCTGGAAAATCGTCAGGTATGAGCTGAAATGCAACAGCTTCGTGAATTGGCTTCTAACCCCCATGGTCATGCCACACCAACTCTTGCGCCCAACACGTCGACTGGCGCGGAAGCGCTGCCGGAACGTCGAAGCGCACTCAAGCCGCAGAAACCCGAGTCGTTCGACCCAAGTCAACGCGACGCGAACGTGCGGACGTGACTCTTCATGCTGAACAACTACTTCGCCGCGAGCGGGGTGCAAGAGGCGGACGCGCAGCAGCGGATCGAGTACGCTGTTACACTGCTGAGGGGCCCGGCCTTGGAGTGGTGGCGCCAACTCACTCAAACTGCTGTAAGAAGGGCTCAGACGGACGCGCATCAACAGGGCGTGGGGCATGCAGCTGCAACTTCGAGCTTAGGGAGTTTAGCTTTGGGTGTTACCACGGTTCCAACCACATGGGAAGGATTTGAAGCGGCGCTGAAAAGTAGGTTCGATTTGGTGAACGCCTCCGAAGCTGCTAGGAAGCGTCTGCGTCATTTCCGACAGATAGGCAACGTCCAGGAGTACACACGACGGTTCTTGAGCATCTGCAACGAGATAGACGATATCACGGAAGCAGAGATGCGCGATCGCTACCTCGAAGGGTTGAAGCCGGACATAGCGGAAGTCATTGCGATTCACGGGTTGTCCACCTTCGAGTCGGTAGTCGCAGCAGCAGAACGCGTCGACGCAGTACGAAGCCGACGGGGTCGTGACGATCGCGATAGGGGATACAACAGACCGATCAACGACGCTCGATCGAGGGACGGACCATCGCCCATGGAGATTGGTGCAGCTAACAGTGACGGCTCACAGAAAATGGGATTTAGGGGGAACTGTCACTACTGCAAAAAGCCGGGACACATGAAGCGAGACTGCCCACAGCTTAAGGAGCAGCAGCAGGGAAACGGAAACCGCCAGTAGATAGCGGGTCGCTAGCTGGTGTGGAGGTTCCCGTACCCGCCACGTCTACCAACGTAGAGGAGACGGCTTTGCAGCAGTCATCTACGGAGAACGAGGTAGACACTGTTGATCGTCCAGTCGTGCTTCTAGGGAAGCTTCGCGGAGTTCCTGTTAAGATTCTCGTAGATAGCGGAGCTAGCCACTCGTTCGTCTCTTCATCGTTAGTTTCTCGTCTCCATCTCGAAGCAGATTCAACAGTCAACTTCAAGGACGCTCGCATGGTAGATGGGACGCCACTTCACATAGGACCGATCATCCGTAAGTTGCGCGTAGTGCTAGGACCGATCACAGTCAGGCGTGATTTCGACTCTGCGACGCTGGACGGATACGATTTTATCTTCGGGAGAGATTGGCTACGGACGGTTAACACTCAGTTCGATTGGGCTCAGGGAAGCTGCAGCGTCAAGGTAGACGGGGAGTTCCGGGAGCTGCCACAGTGGAGCGATGGGGCCACATCATCCACAGCTATCATTAATGCTGTTCGTGTGCGACAGTTAGTGAAGCGTGCGGCACGGATCTTCGCGGTTTTTCTTGAGGAGGTGGAAGCTGAGGAGGGGAAAGGAGGGAGTGCAGCAGTTAGTGAGAAGGCGACTCTTCCTGCTGAGGTGAGTGCACTGTTAGCAGAGTTCGCAGACGTCTTCCCCGACGAGTTGCCCCCAGGGTTGCCTCCCAGCCGAGCAGTAGACCATCGAATAGAATTGGAGCCAGGGAGCAGGCCAGTAGCGAAGCCGCAGTGGAGGTTGAGTCCAGCAGAGACAGAGGAGATGACGCAGCAAGTTAGGCACTTTCTCGCACAGGGTTTCATACAGCCATCTAGATCGCCTTGGGCCGCACCGATACTTTTCGCACCCAAGAAAGACGGAGGGTTACGGATGTGCATAGATTACCGCGCACTGAACGCCGCCACCGTCAAGAATAGATTCCCGGTGCTGAGAGTAGAGGATCTTCTCGATGTAGTGCAGGGCGCTAGAGTCTTCTCAAAGATCGACCTTCGTTCGGGTTACCACCAGATTCGAGTAGTTCCAGAGGACCAGCACAAGACGGCGTTTCGTACGAAGCAGGGGTTGTACGAGTTTAGGGTTCTACCGTTCGGATTGACCAACGCCCCAGCAACGTTTCAGACGCTCATGAACACAGTCCTCTCCGAGTTCCTAGGGTCGTTCGTTGTCGTTTACCTAGACGACATCCTAGTGTTCTCTAAGACGAAAGATGAGCACGTGCAGCACTTGCAGAAGGTCTTCGAGGTCTTACGGAGGGAGCAGTTATACGCTAAGCAGTCGAAGTGCGAGTTCTTCCTTCCAGAGGTCGAGTTCCTAGGACACGTCGTATCCGCTAGTGGCATTAGGACTGACCCGAAGAAGATCGCAGCGGTACAGGATTGGGTAGCACCAACCTCAGTCAAGGAGTTGCAGAGCTTCCTCGGTTTCGCGAACTACTACCGTCGTTTCGTTCAGGGTTACGCATCGATCGCTAGTCCACTCACCGACCTACTTCGGAAGGGCGTAGAGTACGTTTGGGGTCCAGCGCAGCAGCAGGCGTTCGAGCAGATGAAGCAGTCGCTCACGTCTTCACCGACACTGTCGTACCCTGATCCCACTCGCCCATACGTTGTAGTGACCGACGCTTCCGATCAGGCCATAGGAGTAGTGCTTCTTCAGGACAAGGAACGCGGGTTGCAGCCGATCGCGTACGAGTCGCGTAAGCTTAGGGGAGCGGAGTTGAACTATCCCATACACGACAAGGAGGCGCTCGCGATCATCCATGCGTATAAGGTGTGGAGGTGCTACCTAGAGGGGGCAGATAGTGTTATACGCACGGACCACTGTTCGCTTCGTTTCCTCAAGTCGCAGCCGCAGCTGAGTCGTCGCCAGGCTAGGTGGATGGAGTTCATGGAAGGGAGCTTTCACTACAGGATAGAGTACAAGCCAGGCGTACGCAACCCAGCAGATCCGCTCACTCGCCCTAGTTGTCAGCTCGCCAGTCTCACAGTCACTGCTGGTCACCCACTTCTCACAGCACTCTTCGAGCACGGTTACACAGTAGATCCCGACTTCACACCGCAGCCGCCCGCAGGAGCAGAGGTGCAGGGTAGTGTCTACATACGGAAGGGTACCACACGGATTTGGGTTCCAGCCTACCGCCCTCTTCGACAGCTCCTTCTCTCAGAGGCGCACGACGTAGTTAGTGCAGGGCACTTCGGAGCAGATAAGACGGCTAAGACGCTTAGTCGCACGTACTACTGGCCCGGGCTTGCAGCAGACGTAGAGGATTACATTCGCTCGTGCGACACGTGTCAGCGTACGAAGTCCTCTCGCCAGCGCAAAGCAGGACTCTTGCAGCCGATTCCACCGCCCGACCGCCCTTGGCAGGTAGTCACCATGGATTTCATCATGGCTTTATCGCGCACAGTTAGGGGTCACGACGCCATCTTCGTTGTAGTCGACAAGTTCTCTCGAGCAGCGCACTTCGTCCCCACGCACGGCAAGGTCACAGCAGAGGAAGCCGCGACGCTGTTCGTAGATAACGTAGTCCGACTGCACGGGGTTCCAGATTCCATCATCTCAGACCGCGACCCTCGTTTCACTTCGAAGTTCTGGAAGCAGCTTTTCGCACTGTTTGGGACTCGCTTAGCCATGTCGTCTGCGTACCACCCAGAGACAGACGGACAAACCGAGCGTGTGAACCAGACCTTGGAGCAGATCCTTCGCAGCATCACGATGCACGACGCAGCCGCATGGGACAAGAAGCTGAGCATGGCAGAGTTCGCCTACAACAACACGCACCACTCCGCCACAGGCATGTCACCGTTCTTTGCAGTGTACGGTCAGCACCCCAATGTCCCCACTCGTGTCGATCTCACACCCACAGTCCCTCGTGCGGACAACTTCCACCAGCATCTCACCTTCATTCATGATCACGTGAGGAAGCACCTTGAGCTCGCAAATGCACGCATGGCACGCACCACCAACCGCAGTCGTCGTGAGGTGTCGTTCGCAGTCGGCGATCGTGTTCTCTTGGATAGCCGCAACCTCCGACTGCCACAGGACAGCAAGCTTCGTCCACGTTTCATTGGTCCATTCGTCATTGAGCGCGCACTAGGTCCAGTCGCATACCGCCTTCGCATTCCCGCACATTTCCGCATGCACCCGTCATTCCACGTGTCTCTCCTTCGCCCATACACCGATCCCAACGCCACCTTCTCGGGCCGTGATCGCACTCCACTGCCGGTAGCTGTTGACACCGACGAGCCCGACTACCAGATCCAGCGCATCCTCAGGCACCGTCGCCGTCTCCAGGGGGGTGTCACTTTCATCGACTTCTTGGTTCGTTGGCGTGGTTACGACGCAGCAGACGACAGCTGGGTTCCTTCGTCCTCGCTGTCTCCTGACAACGCTTGCCTCCAAGCGTACCTTCAGTCTGCAGGCGCCGCGGACGTCGCCTCCTTGGGAGGGGGGTAGTGTTAGAGGGGTGTTTACTGTTCATTCCGAACAGTACATTCCTAGTCACCATTATCCTTATCTTCTCAGATTCTCTAGTGCCACGTGGCACTCTACTTTTCTTGCACTCCAATTCTTGGTCACACATTCCATTTTCCAACCTTGTTTCTTGCATGCTATATAAACCTTGCTTGTACTTGCCATTATCAATCAATTCTCATTCAACTCTTCTTCAATTACTCAGTAACTTCTTCGCCTATTTCGCCAATAGTTCTTTCGCCAAAGTCTTCCGCCGCGTTTCATCCTCGACTTAGTCGACCCCGCTAATTCTTTAGCGGACTTAGGCCGTCGGGCCTAACACCACCTAATGGTTCAATGTTGAACCTTACACAGGCTAAGGGAAGGACTGAATCTAGCGTGAAATGATCTAGTCAACTGCAGTGCTCTCTCCTCCCTGTTCAACCTTAACCAGGTATGTGGGCAATTATCTGGTCTCCTAGCCCAATCCCCGCCCAATTACCAACAGCAGAGCCCCCCATGCCACCTCCACCAGATGGCCCTCCCCTTCCCTTCCCCAATTAAAACTCCCCCGATGCATCATCTGGCAATATCAGACCAATCTTATGGCACCATGTGGTTGGTTTGAGATCCCATTTTACTGTCTAGGTCCAGAAGCTTTCTGTTGCCAAACCCCTCTGTTCCATGAACAATCCCTTCATTACAAGACCCCTCTCTGTCCCAATTCCTCTCTGTTAGTCCCAAGACCCCTCTCTGTGCCACAACTTCTCTCTCTATTCCACAACTCCACCCCTCCTGACGGTGGCGAGTTTCCTTAGCACCACCACCACTAGCACCACCACCACCAGCACCAGCACCACCAGCACCACCAGCACCACCAGCACCACCAGCACCAGCACCACCAGCACCACCAGCACCACCAGCACCAGCACCACCAGCACCACCAGCACCACCAGCAGCAGCAGCAGCAGCAGCACCACCACCACCAGTTTCACTGCTGTTCAACAAACCTCCCACTGTTCCCGACCACTCCCTCTATTCCACGACCCCACCCCTCCTAACGGTGGCGACTTTCCTTAGCACCACCGCCATCTCTCCCACCACCGCCACCACTGCTGCTACCACGATTACGATCCCCTGTGGTGCCACCCCCACCACCGCCACCACCGCCACCACTGCCACCACCACCACTCCCCTTGCCACTCCCACGATCACGCCCCCCTGTGCCACTACCACCACCACTGCCACCGCCGCCGCCACCGCCACCGCCACTGCCACCGCCACCGCCACCGCCACTGCCACGATCCCTGTCCCGACCCCCTGCACCGCCGCTGTTGCCCCTGTTCCTGCCCGCCCCACCCCGCTTCCCTCGGTTCGCAAATTCCTGATCCTGTGGCGGCCTCCCCATTGGTGGACTCATCATCAGTCCCTGCGGCTTGCCCAAAATCCCGTCTCCTCTATTTCCTTCTGCCCAGCCCGCATTTCCTCCTGCCCCTCCTTCTGCCCGAGCCATAAAACCCTCCGCCCGACCAATAATTCCGTCTGCCCGTCCACCATACGCACTGCCCCCACTAAAATAAACCTCAGCAGGAGGAGGAGGAGCAGGCGTGTGCGTATAAGAGGGCATATTGGAGTAACCACCGCCCACACCACCACCAGGCGCACCCACATTACCACCGTAACTATTCCCGAAACCACCGCTCCCGGTGTTACTGCTCCCCATGCCACCATTATTATACCCGCCGGACCCTGCCGGTTCTGGTCCTCTGGCAGAGTACCCCTGGCCCGGCTGCATCGCGGGGGGGGGTTCAACAACGTAAGACAAACCACCGGGCCCGATGGATCTGCTGCTGCTGCCAATGAATTGCTCACTGGTATTCGTGTTACGGTTACCAGCGTACGGCTGGGCTGATAACCCCGCTCCTGCAGACGCACCCCTTGTGTCGATTCTTGTGTCGTAAGTGGGAGGTGGTCCAGGGGGGAGGGGAGGAGCATTTGTAGTAGAAACCGGGGCAGTGGCAAGCCAAGGGGGAGTAGAGAGGGACGAGTCACCAGTAGTAGCACCACCACTGTAGGGTGCACTCGCACCATACCCCCCAGGTCCAGGGGTATTTGCAGTAGTGCCATAGGAGCCTTGCGAACAAAGTCCCTCCGCTCTTCCCCCAGCAGAAGTGGCGCCATAGGAGCTGCCCACTTCACCGTACACGCGAACTGGCTCATACTGCTGCAAAACACCTGACATTTCACCTGAGATTCCCGTGTGCTGCTGCTGCGGTGGCTGCTGCTGCTGCTCGAGCTGCAGTGGCTGCTGCTGCCCCACAGGCTGCCCAGAAAGTCTTACAGCTTGCTGAGTCAACATCCCATCCTGCCCCACAACAAATATTTGCTGCCCCCCTGTCTCTGCTTGCAGCGGCATCCCCCCTTGCTGCTGCATCCCCTGTTGCCCCCCCTGCTGCAATCTCCCCCCCTGCACCCCTCCCTGCTGCATCCCCTGAATCCTCCCCTGCTGCATCCCCTGCACTCCCCCTTGCATCCCCCCCTGCTGCATCCCCCCCTGCTGCATCCCCCCCTGCTGCATCCCCCCCTGCTCTACCCTCCCCTGCTGCACCCTGTCTTGCTGAATCCCCTGTACCCCCCCCTGCATCCCCCCCTGCTGCATTCCCCCCTGCATCCCCCCCTGCTGCATTCCCCCCTGCATCCCCCCCTGCTGCATTCCCCCCTGCATCCCCCCCTGCTGCATTCCCCCCTGCATTCCCCCCTGCTGCATCCCCCCCTGCTGCATCCCCCCCTGCTGCATCCCCCCGCCCTGCGGCAGAGTCACCCCATCCTGCCCCACCAGCCGGCCATCACTGGCACTCACTAGAATAAGCTGCTCGCCCCTCGCTGCCGCAGCTGCTGCTGCTGCCGCTGGGATAGCCACATACACCACGTCTCCTGCTCCTCCCCCTCCCATTGCTCCTCCACCCCCCATTCCTCCTCCAACCCCACCTCCTAAACCTCCTGCCATTCCTGCCCCCATTCCTCCCGCTTTCCCTCCCTCCATCCCTCCACCGATTCCTCCCCCAATTCCTCCTGCCATTCCTCCTGCCATTCCTCCTGCCATTCCTCCTGCCATTCCTCCGCCCATCCCGCCACTGCTCACCACTCTTCCTAATCCATCTGCACTCCCTGGTATACTTCCCCCATCCATTCCACTGTCTTGCATGCCCCTACCCATTCCACTGCCTTGCATGCCTTGCATGCCAGGACCAGAAACACCACCACCACCGTAACCACCAGAACCAGCAGCACCATACACAGCAGAACCACCACCAGCAGGAGCAGTAACAGCAGGAGCAACAGGAGCAGGAGCAGGAGGAGGAGCAACGGTGCCTAGGGTAAAGCCAGGGCCCGACACAACAGCACCCATTGCACCAGCAGCAGCAGCACCACCACCACCACCACCAGCACCAGCACCAGCACCAGCACCAGCAGTAGGAGGAGCCTGCTGAATGTTAGAGACAGCCATACCACCCTGCCCGTACACCTGACCCCCGTTACCAGCCCCCACTCCCATCCCCATACCCATCCCCATATCCATCCCCCCGCCCACTCCCACTCCCACATGCCCACCCACATCCCCTGAGCTCCCAGCTGTACCCCCATAAGCTGCGCCCCCATAACCCACTCCACTATAAGCCGACCCGTTATAAGGCACACCGCCATATGGCATGTTTGAGACGGGGGCGGGAGCAGGAGCAGGAGGCAGGGGATTATAAGGAGGAACAGATTTAGGGGGAGTGGCAGAAACAGTCATCACCAGTCTGGCTTCGGGCTTTGCACCGCTGCCCTCCATATAATCACGGTCGTTTCTGCTTGGAAAATAACCTCCTCCTCCCTGCGGATCCCTAAAGGCACGGTCGTTTCTGTCGCGCCCGGCATTGTCCCGCTCGCTATTGTCACGACCTCTCTTGCTCCCTGGGCTGCCAAGCCCGTTATAATCACGCTCCCTCTTGTCACCACCACCACCACCACCACCACCACCACCACCATGATCATAACCTCTTTTACCATCCGTTCCCCACCGCTCCCGCTCCCTTTCCCTCTCCCTATTGATCTCGCTCCTCCCTCGCTCCCTCTCATCCCTGTCCCTCTCGTCCCGTCCCCGGCCTCCATCCCTCCTCTCATCCCTCTCGCCCCGCCCGAGCCTGTCTCTCAAATCACGCCTGGTAAGCGAAAGGAAAGTAGAGTTCCAACACACCCCCAACTCACAGCCACCGGAGGGAACAGAAGGCAAGGGACCAAAAAGAATAAAAAATGGGGGCAGGCAGTAGGAGGGAAATGGATGGAAGGAGGGGAAAGGGAGAAGGTTGGGGAGAGAAAGAGAGATGAGGATGGAGTAGCATGGCACAGGTTAAGTACACAAGTGGCAAGTGCTTTTGTGTAGCTAATAAAAACAATACAGCCACAAGAAACCTGAAAAAAATGGGAGGATTATAATGTCAAGCGCCGTCTCATCCCATCCCATTCCATCCCATCCCACCACACCTCAGCTCACTCCTCATCACATCCCACCCCACCACACCTCACCACTTCTCATCTCATTCCATCTCTTCACACCTCACCTGGGCGAGTGCTGTCTGGAGGTGGGCGACGAATGACGCTTGTCCCACCTGCGCTGCTTCTCATGCTGATCCGCACGGTCCGCACCTGCCACTACACATGCATGCACAAACAAGTGAAAGCAGAATGCGGGTATTGCAAGGCAGTTGTGCTATGCTGGGAAGCATGAGAGGAATGCGGGTAAACCACTGGCTTCCCCTGCCTGCGCTGCTTCTCATGCTGATCCGCACCTGCTACTACACATGCACAAACAAGTGAACCCCAAAGGAGTGAAACGGGAGGAATGAAACGGTAGAAGTGCGGGTATGGGCTGGGCCAAGGTTGACACTAGCGCCTCCCACCTGCGCTGCCCTGCTTCTCATGCTAATACGCACCAGCTCCTGCACCAGCATGGATGAGTGGAAGCAAAGGCGTGAAATGAGGGGAGTGGAATCACAGCAACACGTGCCACTGCAACACAATCATACAAGCAGCCTCACCAGGAATATGCGGGCAGTCCTTGAGCACACACGACCATATTCATCGCAACAAAAGCAGACTCACCAGCAATTTGCGGGCAGTCCTTGAGCACATGTCCGGATGCATTGCACCCGAAGCACTTGACTCCTCCACTTGCCGCCGCCTCAGGTATCCCAGAGGCAGATGCCCTGGGCTGCTTGTGACTCACTCACCAGAAATCTGGGGGCAGTCCTTGAGCACATGTCCGGATGCATTGCACCCAAAGCACTTGACACCACTTGCCGCCGCCTCATGCATTCCCGCAGCAGCACCAGGGATCATCCCACCAGCAGCTGAATCCAAGATCACCCCAGACCCAGATGGCACCCCGCTAGGCTTGGCCGGCATAGCAGGGCGGTTAGGGCAGTGCTTGTGCAGATGCCCGGGCTGCTTGCACCCGAAGCACACCACCTGCGAGTGGTGCTGCCTCTGCCTGTCCGGGCAATCCGTGGAGCGATGGCCCTCCTGCCCACAGGTGAAGCAGCGCGGTGGGTTCGAGGGCTGGTTGGTCTGTGGGGGGAGAGGAGATGGAACGAAAGACGGATAGTAAGCATGTGAGCTGTGGGCGCTTGTGGCTCTGTGAGCAGTCCGTGGGGCGATGGCCCTCCTGCCCGCAGGTGAAGCAGCGCGGTGGGTTCGAGGGCTGGTTGGTCTGTGGGGGCAGGGAGATGGATGGAAAAGAGAGGGAGTAAGATGCAAATGAGCAGCAGAAGCATCAAAGATAACCCCAGGCCCAGATGCCCCCGCGCCAGGCATTGTTTTTGAGGCGCCTCAAAAACCACCTCAAGCAGACGCATCAAAGATAACCCCAGGCCCAGATGGCCCCACGCCAGGCGTTGGCGGCTGCATGGCAGGGCGGGTACATCAGCATGCGCCACACATTTAATCACATACAAATAGTGATAGTAATCACACATAAATCAACACATATTCAAATACATTTAGTCATAGGAATCACGCATACATTAATCAACACATATTCACACATGTGTAGTTATGGTAATCAAACATACAACCACACATATCCACCAATAACCCTACATGGAAAACACACTCACCTCACCTGTTTGGACATCTCCAAGACAATTCTCGTCCTGTCCACCACCATGCCATCGCAGCACTCAATGTCGGCACGTGATGAGTCTACTTTTGAGTCGACTCAGAAATAGACGAGCAGCACAACAACATGCACCACATCTCATCTCACACCCATTGACATACACGGCAACCTCTTCAAAAAGCACTCACCGGTTTGTACATCTCCACAATGATCCTCGCCCCGCCCACCACCATGCCATGCCATGCCACCACATTACGTGTGTGGCTAGTAATGATTCTAGTGCCATGCCGCGCAACAACAACCACCACACATGTATCCACTGTCGCACACATGCACGCGCAGCACAGTGACCCCATACAACACAGCACTCACTGGTTTGGACATCTCCACAATGATCCTCGCTCCGTCCACCACCATGCCATCTCAGCATTCTATGTCGGCACTAGCAGCAAATCAACCAAAAAGCATCATTCACATATGCACACAATAGCCCGGCCTAAAGCACTCACTGGTTTGGACATCTCCACAATGATTCTCGCCCCATCCACCACCATGCCATCACAGCGCTGCTGCGCTTCCTTGGCATCTTGTGCGTTGATAAACTCCTGCCAACGGAACACACAGCGATTTGTGGGGATAAGGAGCCGTTTTTTAATAGACTCAAAAAGAGGTGACTTTTGAGTCGACTCAAAAGTCACATAAGGAGCCATTTTTTATTAGACTCAAAAAGCGCCCCTGTGCTTCCTTGGCATCTTGTGCGTTGTTAAACTACTGCCAATGGAACATACAGTGGGGTTTTAGGGATACGAATCACTTGTTGGACTGGACAGTTGAGCCTTGTTTCCTAAGCATGCTGACAGGGGGGTTCATGCAGGCCTAAACGCTTGCCAGCAAAACACAAAATCGACAATCCTAAGGCACAACGAAACACGTATTGTTATAATTAACTTGCTTCTTGAGCATCTTGCATAATGGATTTCATGCTGAAAGTCCCCGCCACCACGTGATTGAAGAAGTGTTTCGAGACGTCTCAAAAGATTTCATGCTGAAATTCCCCGCCACCGTCCGTCCGACACCCTGCAAATGGCACGACAAGCTGCCCCACCGCCATGCACTGTCAGCCATCTTTCACTTTGTCGCCCTTTGTGCTCAAACACCAATGATCCTTCTTACCAATGAGGCGACTGATCCGTTTTCCTATGCTACCTACATGGCACCAAGAAATTTGTCCTCACTCACTCGCTCTCCTCTTTGGCTTCGTTAAAACTTTGTAAGTCAAGTCCTTCAAGGTCAAGGCCTGGATGATTTTCAGCCAACCCGACATGGCCAGCTTGCGATGGTCTGTCAACATTGACCATCATGAAGTGGACAGGTTGTGCGGTAGTTTGGACGGGTGGTGATGAAGCGGCTATTACAAACACCACAGCAGATTGTGGTCTTTGCAGGTTATGAGAACACTTCCAAGCAGTAATAATTCTCTCCACATCAAAGCCGCGTGAACTGAGACGATTTTGGAGGCGCCCGAAAAATTGAACATGAAGTGGACAGGTTGGGACGGTAGTTTGGACGGACGGTGATGAAGCGACACGACTATTACAAACACCACAGCAGATTGTGGTTCGAAGATAGTACCATAACACGAAGCTGGAATGCGTAACTGTAGGACGGACGATGAAGCGACTATTACAAACTGGGCCGTGCCGCAGTGCCATGCCGCCACATCCTAAGGGACAGCAGATTGTAGTTTGAAGATACTACCATGAATACGAAGCTGAAAGGCGCAACTGTAGGACGGACGATGGTGACACACGACCATGAGAGAGAGAGAGAGAGGATACCGTGGTTCAAGACACCATGAGGTAAACGGATTGGGGAGCTGTGATCTGATCTGGACGAACGTCGGCGAAGCCACCATGACGATGCGCACGAAAGGAGATTGTAGCTCTGCCGTCGTGTCGTGCCCACCATGCCGCTGCGCAGTGCCGTGGGTGGGACCGTGCCGTGCCGCAGTGCCATGCCACCATGCCACCATGCCACCGTTCCGCCTTACCTTACCACTGTGCCGCTGTGCCTTTGTGCCACCCACCGTGCATCCATGCCATTATGCAACCGACAAAGGGAAGCAAAGGCGCCATAAAGAGGATACGTCTTGCCATGATTCGAACAAAGAGCGGCGAAAAGACCACGTCGCAGCCGAGTGAAGAGTTTGGATTGGACGAGGGATGCCGAAGAGTCCACGTGGCAGACAAGTGAAGACTGTTCTTTGGAAATGGGTGGTGAAGAGACCACGAAGTAGACGAGGGGAGTCGTTGGTTCTGTTTTGAGGGTGGCTGGCTGCGAGTCCCCAGAGTACATGAGCGATTGGATTGGAATCTTGGATGAAGAGTGGCAGTGAAATCAGCGAGACCACGACGTAGACAGGAGAAGATTGTGGTGAAGGTTGAAGAAGGGAGCCAGGTTCGAACGGATACTGAGGTTCGGATAGAGAGAGGTGAAGAGATCATGACGTAGTAGATTCGTATAGAAGTGGTTAAAAGGGTGACAATAGGACATGTGATAGACGTGCGGCGGTTGTGGTTAGAACAGAGGGTGAAAAGGCCATGAAGTAGACGGATGGAGCTAAGGTTCAGACATCATGAGGTAAGCTTTAGACATCATAAGGCCATTGACTCTTATGTTTCGAACAACATTTGAAAGGATGTCAACTTACAATACGAAAATAAGCCAATGAACAAGAACGCATGCAAGTCTTACCATGAATGTTAAAGGTCCGATCAATCCACACAACCTGAAATGCATACGTATGGTCCCATACACACATCTTCATTACAAGGACAACTAAGAAGCAATGCAAAAGTGTCTTACCACAGGGTCAAAACCAGTCTTGAGAGGTTTTCTTCATGCCTTGACACCTGAATGAATGCCTTAGACTTTTTTTTTTTTGGGGTTTAGGGCAACAGCACTATGCTATGCAAGCAAGAGGCTTACCACGAAGGCATAGTCGGTCTTCATATCGACTCTCTTCACCCTGGGAGGTGCGAGAAAGGAGGCCCTGAAAGACATACGAGACGAGGCCGGTCCCGTCCACGCAGGCCATAGAATGCAAGCAAGAGGCTTACCACAAAGGCATAGGCTTACCACAAAGGCATAGGCTTACCACAAAGGCATAGGCTTACCACAAAGGCATAGGCTTACCACAAAGGCATAGTCGGTCTTCATATCGACTCTCTTCACCCTGGGAGGTGCGGGAAAGGAGGCCCCGAAAAGCATACGATACGAGGCCGGTCCCGTCCACGCAGCACCGGTGTATGCAGAGCAGCAGCCCAGGGAGTGGCGATGGAAGAAGCAGGCAGCGCCACCATGGCAGCAGGCGTCACGAGAGACGACCAAGCGTCCACGAAGTCGCCCACGCAGCCGCCCACGCAGCCGCCCAGGGAGCCGCCCAGGGAGCCGCCCAGGGAGCCGGTTCAAGAAGTTGGCAAGACCAGAGCAACAGGCAGCCGCCAAGCAACAGCCATCCATGGAGTCAGCCACCACCCGTCCATGTGGTGCGAGGCGTACAGACCACACCCGCAGGACGGTTCCACGGGGCGGCAATGGGGGCAGATTGGCAGCAGCAGCCGGTGCGGATCCGCAGCAGGGGATAGTGCCACAAGAGCAGGTGTCCAGAAATGGAGGGGGGCGGTGGGCGGAAGGGGGGAAACGAGAAGCGGGAGAGGGGGGGGGAAAGGGAGGGTGGGAGAGAGAGGGAGGAGACGGAAAAGGCGAAGGAGAGGGAAAGGAGGATGAGGGCGGAGATGGAAAGGGAGGGGTGAGGAAAGGAAAGGAGGAGCGGAAAGGGTGGAAAAGTGGAGGAAGAGGAGGATAGAAGAAGGGAGGAGAAGCATGGGAGGAGGGAAATGAGGGGAGCGGAAAAGGGAGCAGAAAAGAGAATGGAGAAATGAAGCGGGGAGACTGGGCTCAGGTCCACGCATGGGGGTGGACGGACGAACCAATATGCTGGGCATGGACGGAATGAAACAAAGCGGAATTATGGGGGGGGAAGAAAGTGGAAGAATGAGGAATGGCAGGAAGGGGGGAACCCTGTATCTTTGATGAAAAATTGGTGGAAAATTTGGAAACACAGGCGCCTGAGGTTCCCAGCATGGAAGAAGAGAGGCAAAGGCTGGGGCAGCATTCAAGTTCAGCCCGTGCAGGGACGAGATCAAGGGGCCCTGAGCCATAGAGATGATGAATCCATTGAGCGAAGCCCTGTAACCTGCTGAAAGGAAACGGTCGAGGCCTGACACCAGAAGTTACCGCACAAACTGCAGCATTACTTGGCTTGTAAAACACGGAATGCAGACCGGGGGAGCGGCGGATGAGGGGGAAGAGCTAACCACTCCTCCTTCTCCAGAGTGGTGTGAGCTCAAAAGTGGAACCGCGATTGGAACAATAGGGAATGAGGAGGGCAGCAGACGAAGGACTTGGAATGCGCCAAGAAGCTAATGGACGGCATCAGCATCAGGAGGCATGGTATGGAGGCTGGAGCGTTGGCACTGAGATCTATAGGAGAAGATTTTAAGCCAGAATCTGACGCCAGAAGCAGCAGAGGCCAGGCGCGGAGACCAGGATCCAGCGCAGGGATGTCTCAAACCAGGATCCTTGGCGCTGCTCGATGCGAGAAACACCTCGGGAGTTACGATTTGAAGTAGAACTGACAGGATCTTGGTGCTTAAGTAGAGATCCCGGAGTATTTCGACTCATTCGGAGCGCGCGCACGCAAGGTGATTGGTCGGCGACGCCCGTTGGTCCTTCACCAAAGGACCTTTTATTTCTCACAAAATGTGTGACGAGAAGTCAAAAGGCGATCTTGAGCGGAGAACAGCAACAGTAAGCCGAAGAATCTTTACAGAATGCAAGCTTACAGAAGTGCAAGCTACGAAGTGGGGGGTGGAAAAGGCGGGGGTGAAATGCAAAGATAACACAGTCAAGAGTGCAATGAAACGGTTTGAATTGGTGGAAATAAGAAAACGCACTTTCCGTATTTCGAAAAGACGTCCTCCAAATCATGCATCCCCGTGCGCGTCGACAAACGGCCGACATAAAGCCGGGACGTCTCGCGAGCGCCGACCTCCATAGCCGGCAGACGGAAGAGACTCTACGCCGCGCGACGCGAGTAAATAAAAACGTTTTCTTTGCCAAAAAAAAACCCACGTTGCGCAGTGTCTCGGCCCTAGTCCTTCAAACCTAAAGCACCAGTACGCTGGTGGAACTACTAAAACTGGATCCTCTTGTTGTGAAAGCTCCTGAGCAGCGTCGCCATGATGCGAGAATGGCTGAACAAGGGAACTCTTCAAGGGTTTGTGGAGTGGTGTAGAGCGGCGAGGGCCTGAAATTGATGAACAGCAAAGGGGGTTTCGCGAACCTCGGATCTTCTGGTTCATTCGTTTCGGCAAGTTCGCCAGGGCTTCAGAAACTCAACCACGACTCGAGGAGGGACGAATGTTGTGCGACAACAGTTGAGGTGTATTTGTAACTGAGCTGTCAACATCGATGCAAAATTGTCTGGTTACCATATAATCCTTATCCAGAGTTGAACTGAAACTGCTGTTCACCACCAGCAGAGCATCTCATCCGTTGATGCGTTTGCGAGTCCCAACTGTCGATAAAGACTACCGCCTCTCAAGCAGAGTCGTCCCTCAGTCCCTAAGTTAGTGGGATACGTTTTGTTCGTGTGGTAGAAATTAGGTATTAGGTTTTCGGGGTCAGTACCGGGGTATAATATTGTTAAAGCGGGTTTTAACATTGTGGACCTTGTCCACTCTCATCGAAACCAGCAGTAACAACCGATTAGTTTCGCCGTTTATCCTCTTTATCCTATCATCAACAAGCGACAATGGGGAACGCGCAAGGCCGCGATAAGGGTCGCAGCAGCATGGAAGGGCGGCCTGTGCCTGAGAGCGGGCGGCGATTGGCGTCGCGACTTGGTCGGTCGCACTCCAACGACTCCATGGGGAACAGCCCGCCTGACAGCCCTAGCGGCGCTGCGAGATCTCCCCTCATGTTCACTCCGCAGGTAATTCAGCATTTGCTCGGGTAGTTCAGAATGTTGACTCCATGGGGAACAGCCCGCCTGACAGCCCTAGCGGCGCTGCGAGGTCTCCGCTCATGTTTATTCCGCAGGTGATTCTACTTCTTCCTTGGTAATCCTGAATGTCGACTGGATGGAGAACCCGCCCGCATGACAACCCTAATAGCGTTACCAGGTCCCCGTGTAGTTTTGCTCTGCAAATAAGTCCAGAGGTTTGCATAGTCGAGTTCTGGGAAATTTTAGAATCGATTACAGGTATACAGCCAGCCTAGTGTCGTTACAAATCCTTAACGAGTGGTCACAGGTTGGTCTTGAAACTCAGCAAATGTCGTGGCTGCACTGAGTCCGATTCAACTAACAGGTTTGTTGGATGCATCTGCGCTGCTGTGGATTTGATATGGCACCTTCTAATGATTGCTTCTGTTTCCAAATGTGCAGATTCCCATGGCTCCAATTCCCAAGGCGGACGAGCTATCGCTGGGGTCAGGCTTTGGTGGCTACGGTGGTGATGGTGCGGGTGGGCCTGGGGCGGATGGGGAGCAAGGTGTGCCGACACTCATCACATGGACACATGGTGGCAACCATGTCTCTGTGGATGGTTCATGGGACAACTGGACGACAAGGTATGTCCGTGTTGCTCAAGCTCTTCATTGTGCTGGAATCTAGAGGTTGCAAATGTTCATATAGCTGATCTCCTCGCTGTTATCACGTTAGGCATGTAACTGCAACACATGTTAGCACCTGCTTTGCGAACGCCTTCTTTTTCAGGCAAGTCTTGCAGCGCGCCGGCAAGGATTTCACAATTGTGAAGATGCTGCCTCCTGGGGTGTACCAGTACAAGTTCATTGTGGATGATGTGTGGCGGTATGCTCCTGACCTTCCAGCAGTGTATGATGAAATGGGAAACGTGAACAACGTTCTGGAAGTGCAGGTATGTTATTACTAAACCAAGTCACATTATGCTTGTGGTGCAGTTTCTCTTGCTGACTTGTGTGGGTGCCCTGCAATCACTGTGCAGGAGTATGTGCCAGAGAACCTTGACAATGTAGCGGGATTTGAGCCGCCTCGGTCTCCTGTCTCTAGCTACAATGACCCTTTTCCTGTGCCTGAAGACTTTGCCAAAGAGCCTCCTCTTCTTCCTCCTCACCTTCAGCTCACCCTGCTGAATGTTCCTGTTGCTGGTGACGCTCCCACGACATTGCCTCGGCCACAGCATGTCATTCTGAACCACCTGTATGTGGAGAAAGGTAAAGCAGCAAGGTCGGTGCTTGCTCTTGGGCTGACGCATCGGTTTCGCTCTAAATATGTCACGCTTGTATTGTATAAGCCACTTCATAGGTAGTGTAACAATTATGCTGCAATCTTTGTACAAATGTTCTGTAACAATAACATGTGAGATGTGGATTACTCTAAAGTCATCTAGGGCGCTCTCCTTGACCTGAGGGTGCAGTACAATCTGCACTCTGGTCAAACGTCTGGTCAGGTTATCTTAGGAGCCCCACTTCTGATAATCCTACCCTTCTGGTCATCCCACCCCAACTTCTGGTCAGGGATCAAGTGCTGCATCATTGACCAAAAGCTTCAGTATCCATCTCCAGAAAGATTTATCCCAAAACGTACTGGTTTCCTAAATAAATCTGTCATCTGCACAACACTAGAGAAAAACTCTGGTGTGAGTTGTATGTTTGGAATTGTCTCCCAATAACCAAGACAAGAGTTGGAAACAGTCAGCAAGCCAAGAACCTTTGATAGGAATCTAATCAATACAGAAGGTTGTATATGGTCAATCTTCCCAATCCGCACTGCATCTCCATCTCATGTCTATTCTAGTCAGCAAACCCTTCCCTTGCAGACACAGCCTACCCCTAAGAGCTGGTAGGCCCACCTGCAAGGGAACATGCACGCCCCTCATCTCATCATGAACGCTTAGAAACCATGCATCTTTATGAGGTCCTTCTTCGCAATACCAGCCTGAATGAGGAACGCCGAAACGTTCTTCCGCTGGTCGCCCTGAAGCTGAATGACCTGTAATAACAAGAGCGAAAAGGTTAGCGAACCGGGAAAGGATCCAATGGAATCGTGAGGACGGGTTAAATACCAACCTGACCAAGTTCGATGTCTTGAACGACGGTTCCGTTGCAGCAGAACTCCTGAGAAAAGAGAGCGAAAAAAATAGAGATCCCATCAGCTTAGCCATCGACTTGCTTATAACCACCCAATCACAATCTTCAAACAACGAAGGCTTACCTTCTTGAAATCCTTCAATATCTTGTTGTAATTGAATTCTTTATTCAGGCCTTGAACAGTTGTCAGGCTCTTACGACCATTCCGTTGCTGGATACGGATATGGACGTAATCCTTAGTTCCGGCTCCAGGATCATCAGCAGCATTCGCGTCAGCAAACGGGTCTGCAAGCAAGTTCAGGAACCGTCAAAACAGTGTCTACACCAGAAAATGAATGGACAGAAGCTAAGCCGAACGACAACAACGACCTACGAACATACCGAAGGCCCCAGGAACCTCGAGTTCTAGATCGGACATGAACGAAGGATGGATGATGAGCCTTGAGAGCTGAAGGGTGGTGTGTGGGCTACGGAATACGGAGGAAGACGACGACGACAAACCCTAGCAAAAGTGCCTGGAGCTACACAAAGTGGAAATGGACTTGCGGAAGCACTGAACTTTTCATAGCTTTCTTGGCTCCGTCAGTGGATATATCCGAACTTGGGTTTGGATGGGAGAAGGGTTGAACGGTCACTTTCTGGAACAAACTTCTCCGTGGCGGGCAGATCTCCGTTTCGTGCAACCAGCGATGCCGTAGTGGAGAAGTTTCGCCACGTCGGCGACCTTCGCGAAGCCCAACAAATCGTAACGAAATTCTTAGGGCGCGTGTGATATTGTCTGAAGTTCAAAAATCAGGTCGAGCTTTCAGTGGTTACCGGAATCAGCATTTTCGCCGGACATATCATGCGAAAGTCGTCAATGCCTTCACACAAATGTAGTCGAGTCGCGGTGTGTGAACGTGATTCGAATTTGCACGTGAACTCGTACCCACACGTTTTTCGAACGTGTGTAGTTTTGGGCAGGCGCGATAGATAGGCGAAGCGAACGAGACCCACGACAGTCGGTAAACAATAAACGAATTTGGTAACATTTTCGACGCTCGATAGGTTGATGTGGCGCGCTGTCAAAACGAAGCTGGTAACCTACGCACCCTACTTGCACCACGGCGCGCTCAGTAAAAGGTCGAACCTCTACATTCGACCTTTGTTGTGTCACGTTGACTACATTGAAAATGTGACTTGCGGTTCGAACTTCGATAATGCACAAAGTCGAACACAGCTCGCAACATTTTTAAAGGTAGATTCGATATTAAAAGGCGAACTTAGCTAATTTCACAGATTACACGCGCCCTTATGTCGCGTCAGCATCATCCCCACCGCGTCAGGCCGTAGGCAATGTGCGTCTTGTCAGTGCTACACCCAGTCATGAACGAAAACAATACACTGATTCAGGAAAACCTGTCAAGAACCTGCTTTCATATATGTGTGACAGATCAGTGCCCGCATTCAAATTAGAACGATAGCAATTTACTTTCATTTACCTTGATTCATCCAAATAGTAGGTATAGAGGGTCTATAAGTCGTAAACCCAAAAAGAATACGGTGTGGAATGTGTACAAAAATTATCAATTGTCATCAGGTACTTGTCCGACACTCAACATGGCTGCCAGAACAAGCACGATGAATAAAATACAGAAGGGCGGGGGGGGGGGGAAGGGGGGGGAAGGGGGGGGACGGGTTAGAGGGGGAGGGGAGGGTGAAGGGGGCGTGGGCAAGGGAATGGTGAGAAGATGAGCACCAGTGGAGAGTGAGGGAGGGAAGGAGGGAAGGGTGGGGCTGGTACTTATGGCACGGGGTAAAGGGCAGGGAGTGATGAAAGTGTGGGGGGGGAGCAGTATGCAAGACACTGATCAGGTGAACGTCGGGAATATAAACTATCATGGTCGTGCACAAACACGCACAAAAGTGATATCCTATAAAATGCAAGACATGGTGGTCTCACCTGTGGTGGACGAACTCTTCGCGGTGGCACGTGTGAGCTTGCTCCTGGGTCCGAAATTGTCAAAATACACTTTGGCAGCAATCATGAAGATCAAGAGCGCAATTTCCACGGATTGAGGGATGTAAATGACCCATAAGCCGAAATGTATGGAATATACGAGGTAGAGAAGATGCGCGAGAGCAAAAATGAATTGCCTGCGCATGGTGGATACAGAGCAATGAAACACAGGCAAGGAGACGTACGGACGAGGACCGACTTGAGCACAGAAAGTTGTTATCAGAGAGCTCGGAATACCAGACTACATGATATGTCGAAAAATGGCAATATCATGTTTCGAGCGCGTGTGGACCAATAACTTCGAATGACAAACGGTAAACAAGAGTGATTATCAGAAATCCTTTCGCAAAAAAGAGAGGAAATTCGCGATGACAGCATGCTCACAAGCCAAACACAATCGAAATGGTACCGGGGATTGCGACATGAACGCGTCAGTCATCGCATCCGCGAGCTCACCAGGCGTAGCTTATATCGGTGGCTGATTTGGTCCTAAGAACCTTGTACGTCTGAGCCGCTGTGGACAGGGGAAACATGCAGCCTCCCACAAACCCTATAACCTGAAACGCGTCATCAAACCCCATAATTCCGAACCAGACTCCTAGACTGACTTCAAAGCACGCTACATTGAGGCTTCTGCAACTCACAAAGCACCTAAAAAGTGGGAGCAACAAAGAACGACAGATGAATTCGAACGCCTAGCCATGCCAAGTGAGTGATCAACTTCAGCTGTCCGGGCTGGACGTGAAGAAAATGTTTGGTTGATGGTGAAATTGCTGAATGTGGCGCAGGGCGGTGAGTTGAGATTGCTCACAGGAAACCACGGCCTTGTACGGTGAACCAAACCAACAAAAAGGCGGGAACTTCAAAACCAGCCAGACTAACAAAAACGCCGATGCCGGGGACCGAACCCGGATCTTCCGCGTGACAGGCGGAGATACTGACCATTATACTATCGACATGTCACAACTACCGTACAATCATTATAGATTATATTTATAATGATGAGCGTTTCCCAGCCCCATTCATTTGGGATGTGCTGCCATGATCGCTGCTGCCATCTTGCCTCCCATTCTCCAGCCCGGGACTTCGATTGGCGCATTTCGTTGCGCCAGTAGACAGGCCAACTCGCGGGAAGGACGGGGCCGGAGGAAAGGGATTTGGTACCCCCGAGCCGGTGGTTCGGGTGAAGATTCTAGTTCTTTTTCTGCGAATAAGTCCGAAGCAGTTACTAGCAAAAGCGCACGATCCGCGAACATGACAGGATCGTTGAATTCCGCTGTTCCGCCGGATTCCACGGAGAACACCAGCGGCAGCGATAAAATAGTCGTGACTCCCATCGTAGCTGAGGGGATCATTCGTCTGGACGCGGACGAAGCTTCTCGGAAGGCGGCCTTTCCGTCTCTCTCATTCGCAGACCCGCCGGCCAGGGAGCAGCGACTAGGAGGCGGTGGTTCGGGAAACGGGGATCTGTCAATCGAGGACGTGCTTGCAGGGGTTGCTGTTTCTGTAGAATTCAGCTCGCGAAACGACCAGCAAGTGGTTACCATCCAGGTTCGTGAATTCGACCGTTTGAATAGGAATACCGATTTTATGTCCTTTTGATCTGTTTCGTCTCATTTAGGTCTGCGTGCGTGTGTTCCTCCTCCTCACTGTGCCAGATTTTCCTCCTGGAGCCAGCACCCCCTCCTTCCCTGTCAGTTGATCTAGAGGCGCCTGCCTGGCTTCTGGATTTATCAACCCTCCCTGGCTGTGGAGGCGCCTCACTCACAATGAATCCCTAGAGTGCCGATTTCATTTCTCATCCATTCTACGACTCATCACCCCTCCCTGGCAGCTACCAGAGGGGTCATCTTTCTATGGAACAGGGGAGGTCGGAGGGCCTCTTGAGAGGAGCAAGAAACGGGTACGTGGGTCGCTGGGGGTGCTGCTGCTCCTGCTATGTTGTGTCTGGTCTGACCGTAGATGCTGCTGTTGCGGATGGTAGTGGTGGTGGCTGACTGGCTCTGCTGCTGCTGCTGTCTGCTGCTGATGGTTTTCCTTCTGCTGTTGCTTTCACTCGTCGTTGCCTCTCTCGTCTGTTTTCCTTCATTAGATTTCCTTCCTGAAAGACGTCAGCCTATTGAATCACCTCACTTGCCCCCCCACCAGAACTCTATTGAAACACAGACTGCTGGGGCTTCAACTAAATGCTACGGAGGCAAGTCAAGTCAAGAGTACCCCCCCCCACCCAACCCCTCCACTCTGTCCCACCCACCCTTCACTTCACACCCCCACCGTTTTCCCACTCGCCCTTGCCACCAGAGCTTCACGCGGAACACGGACTGCTGGGTCTTCAATATCAGTCGGTTGAGTCAACTCTAGTTGATACTGAAGATTACCCCACCCACCGCACACCCCCTCCCACTCGGCCCCACCACCAGATCTTCACGTGGAACACGGACTGCTGGGGCTTTAACGGCAGCACCCCCTCGCTCTACATGTCACACCCCTGGGTCTTCTCCCTGCTGCCTGACGGCCGCTGCCTCGGCTTTTTAGCCGACACCACCCGGCGCTGCGAGGTGAGCAGCGCAGTGTGTGTGTGGGTTGCTGATAGGTTTGATTGCCGCTGACGCAGGGATCATGAGGGAGCACGTGAGGGGGTATCACAATATAAGGATGGCACTATCCTCTCACTCTTCACGTCCCGCCCCTGGGTCTTCTCCCTGCTGCCTGATGGCCGCTGCCTCGGCTTTTTAGCCGACACCACCCGGCGCTGCGAGGTGAGGGGGAGCAATGGATGCAGGCGGAACTGAACTGTCACACGGACAAGAAGAATATGATGGGAATTTGATGCTTTTGTGGTTGGTGGCCCTCTGGTTGATTCGTTTCTGTCTGTATATGTCTCTGCCTGCATGCTCTAGTGTCCGGTGTAGATTGGGTTGGGTTCATTTCACCCGATGAGAATTCACAGAAGTAATATCCTCCCCTCGTGCAGGTGGATCTAAGAGCCGCACCCACCCTCTGCTTCACCGCATCAGCTCCCTTCCCGCTCATCCTCTTCGGCCCCACCGCCTCTCCCTCGCACCTCCTGCAACTCCTCGCCAAGGCCATTGGTGAGTGGGGTGGGGGTCTACAATCTGTTCTGGCCATTGGTGAGTGGGGGTCTACCGTCTGTTCTGGCCATTGGTGAGTGGGGGTCTACCGTCTGTTCTGGCCATTGGTGAGTGGGGGTCTACCGTCTGTTCTGGCCATTGGTGAGTGGGGGTCTACCGTCTGTTCTGGCCATTGGTGAGTGGGGGTCTACCGTCTGTTCTGGCCATTGGTGAGTGGGGGTCTACCGTCTGTTCTGGCCATTGGTGAGTGGGGGTCTACCGTCTGTTCTGGCCATTGGTGAGTGGGGGTCTACCGTCTGTTCTGGCCATTGGTGAGTGGGGGTCTACCGTCTGTTCTGGCCATCAGTGAGTGGGGGTCTACCGTCTGTTTTGAGACTCTGTGGACTCTGTATGTTGTGTGGGGTCGAGGTTTATCATCTAGGTGTGGCCATGGGTGTAGCCGGAGGTTTTGAGACGTCTCAAAACACTCCTTCTTTCGTGTGGCCATGGGTGTAGCCGGAGGTTTTGAGACGTCTCAAAACACGCCTTCTTTCGTGTGGCCATGGGTGTAGCCGGAGGTTTTGAGACGTCTCAAAACACGCCTTCTTTCGTGTGGCCATGGGTGTAGCCGGAGGTTTTGAGACGTCTCAAAACACGCCTTCTTTCGTGTGGCCATGGGTGTAGCCGGAGGTTTTGAGACGTCTCAAAACACGCCTTCTTTCGTGTGGCCATGGGTGTAGCCGGAGGTTTTGAGACGTCTCAAAACACGCCTTCTTTCGTGTGGCCATGGGTGTAGCCGGAGGTTTTGAGACGTCTCAAAACACTCCTTCTTTCGTGTGGCCATGGGTGTAGCCGGAGGTTTTGAGACGTCTCAAAACACTCCTTCTTTCGTGTGGCCATGGGTGTAGCCGGAGGTTTTGAGACGTCTCAAAACACGCCTTCTTTCGTGTGGCCATGGGTGTAGCCGGAGGTTTTGAGACGTCTCAAAACACGCCTTCTTTCGTGTGGCCATGGGTGTAGCCGGAGGTTCTGAGACGTCTCAAAACACTCCTTCTTTCGTGTGGCCATGGGTGTAGCCGGAGGTTTTGAGATGTCTCAAAACACACCTTCTTTCGTGTGGCCATGGGTGTAGCCGGAGGTTTTGAGACGTCTCAAAACACGCCTTCTTTCGTGTGGCCATGGGTGTAGCCGGAGGTTTTGAGACGTCTCAAAACACTCCTTCTTTCGTGTGGCCATGGGTGTAGCCGGAGGTTTTGAAACGTCTCAAAACACGCCTTCTTTCGTGTGGCCATGGGTGTAGCCGGAGGTTTTGAGACGTCTCAAAACACGCCTTCTTTCGTGTGGCCATGGGTGTAGCCGGAGGTTTTGAGACGTCTCAAAACACGCCTTCTTTCGTGTGGCCATGGGTGTAGCCGGAGGTTTTGAGACGTCTCAAAACACTCCTTCTTTCGTGTGGCCATGGGTGTAGCCGGAGGTTTTGAGACGTCTCAAAACACGCCTTCTTTCGTGTGGCCATGGGTGTAGCCGGAGGTTTTGAGACGTCTCAAAACACGCCTTCTTTCGTGTGGCCATGGGTGTAGCCGGAGGTTTTGAGACGTCTCAAAACACGCCTTCTTTCGTGTGGCCATGGGTGTAGCCGGAGGTTTTGAGACGTCTCAAAACACGCCTTCTTTCGTGTGGCCATGGGTGTAGCCGGAGGTTTTGAGACGTCTCAAAACACGCCTTCTTTCGTGTGGCCATGGGTGTAGCCGGAGGTTTTGAGACGTCTCAAAACACTCCTTCTTTCGTGTGGCCATGGGTGTAGCCGGAGGTTTTGAGACGTCTCAAAACACGCCTTCTTTCGTGTGGCCATGGGTGAAGCCGGAGGTTTTGAGACGTCTCAAAACACGCCTTCTTTCGTGTGGCCATGGGTGTAGCCGGAGGTTTTGAGACGTCTCAAAACACGCCTTCTTTCGTGTGGCCATGGGTGTAGCCGGAGGTTTTGAGACGTCTCAAAACACTCCTTCTTTCGTGTGGCCATGGGTGTAGCCGGAGGTTTTGAGACGTCTCAAAACACGCCTTCTTTCGTGTGGCCATGGGTGTAGCCGGAGGTTTTGAGACGTCTCAAAACACGCCTTCTTTCGTGTGGCCATGGGTGTAGCCGGAGGTTTTGAGACGTCTCAAATCACGCCTTCTTTCGTGTGGCCATGGGTGTAGCCGGAGGTTTTGAGACGTCTCAAAACACTCCTTCTTTCGTGTGGCCATGGGTGTAGCCGGAGGTTTTGAGACGTCTCAAAACACGCCTTCTTTCGTGTGGCCATGGGTGTAGCCGGAGGTTTTGAGACGTCTCAAAACACGCCTTCTTTCGTGTGGCCATGGGTGTAGCCGGAGGTTTTGAGACGTCTCAAAACACTCCTTCTTTCGTGTGGCCATGGGTGTAGCCGGAGGTTTTGAGACGTCTCAAAACACTCCTTCTTTCGTGTGGCCATGGGTGTAGCCGGAGGTTTTGAGACGTCTCAAAACACGCCTTC